AAGATTAGGAGAAGGTAGGTAGTGTGACTGGAGTGGAGAGCATAGGTATTTGGGTCACTTCCTCATTCAGCTTACTTGTGCCTCCAGGCCCAGCTAGAACCCAATCTCTTACATACTATTTCCATTTAATGAGGGAGTTCTGCTGTGCAATCTGACTTAATCACTTTGTGAGACAGATAGCACCCAGTTCATGATGGGCAGCTCAGGCTGCACGATGACTTGGTGACCTAGGTTAGGCATTCAGTCTCTACTAAGGCCCAGTAACAACCTGAAAGCTGTTTCTCAAAAGGAGAGCAGTTATCTGCAGAGGATGGCAGGGCTTTGATCCAAAATCCCAAGGGTCTGTACTGTGAGTCACTAATAGGGGCCTGCCAAAGACTCCAAACAGCATCTCTGTCTGCCACTGCCACTTCAAGAACCATTGGATCAGCTGGATCATGTGCCCCAAGTGGAACAGGGGCTTGCATGGCAGGCTGAACCTTCTGCAGAGCCTTCATGTATTCCGGGCCCCACTCAAACTAGCAGCTTTTTGGATCACTTGATAAATAGGAAAGAATAGCACACCCAAGTAAGGGATATATTGCCTGCAAAATCCAAAGAGGCCCACCAGGCATTGTGCTTCCTCTTAGTTGTAGGAGGGGTCAGCTGCAACACTTACCCTTCACTTTAGAAGGAATATTTCAACATGCCACACACCACTGGACTACTGGAAATTTCACTGAGGTGGAAGGCACCTGAATTTTTGTCAGGTTAATTTCCTGGTACACAAATGCCTTGCCAGTAAATCTGGAGTCAATTAATACTTCTTTCTTACTAAGTTCAATCAGTTTAACGTCATCAGTGTAATAGACCAGTATCTAGTCTTGTGGAAGGCAAAGGTTTAGCAAGGGTCCCTGAAGACTAAATTATGACATAAGATTAGAGAGTTGATATACCCTTGAGGTAGGACAGTGAAGGTGTTTTACTGGCCTTGCCTGCTGAAGGCAAACTATTGCTGTTGGTCCTTTGCAGTAGATCTGGAGAAAAAGGCACTGGCCAGATCAATAGCTGCATATCAGGTACCAGGAAACGTATTAATTTGTGCCAACAGTGAAACTACATCAGGAACAGCAGCTGCAATTGGAGTCACCACCTGGTTAAGTTTATGATAATCCAGTGTCATTCTCCAAGATCCATCTGTTTTTTCACAGGCCAAGTAGGCGAGTTAAATGAGGATGTAGTAGGAATTGCCTCCCCTGCATCCTTCAAGTCCTTGATGGTAGCAGTAATCTCAGCAATCCCTCCAGGGATGTGGTATTGCTTTTGGTTTTCTGTTTTCCTAGGTAGGGGCAGTTCTAATGGCTCCCACTTGGCTTTTCCTACCATAATAGCCCCTACTCCACATGTTAGGGATCCAGTGTGTGGGTTCTGCCGGTTGCTGAGGATGTCTATTCCAATAGTGCATTCTGGAACTGGGGAAATCACTACAGGATGGGTTTGGGGACCCACTGGACCAACTGTGAGATGGACCTGAGCTAAGACTTCGTTAATAACCTGACCTCCATAAACCCCTACTCTGACTGGCAGGCCACAATGACGTTTTGGGTCTCCTGGAATTAGTGTCAGTTCAGAGCTAGGGTCCAGTAATCGCTGAAAAATCTAATTATTTTCTTTTCCCTAGTGAATAATCACTCTTGTAAAAGGCCACAGATTCCTTTTGGGAAGACTGGGAGAAAGATGAGCAGTATAAATTTTTGGCAGTATAGTGGTGTCTTTCCTCAAGGGGACCTGGCCTTTGCTTCATTAAAGGGATTGTGGGTCTGTAAACTGGCTCAAGTCCAGAATTGATTAGGAGCCATGACTCTCTGTTCTGGTGATTTGACCTGACTTAGAATTATCTCGCTTACACAGATCAAGTAAATGTTTAGTAGATTTCCCATCTATTTCACTCCTAGGGACACCATGCCTAAGTAGCCAATGCCGTAAGTCCATACCAGTCAGACTATATGGATTACTGCTTCGATTCTGCTGTCCATTTTGGTAACCGTGCCCACCTTATCTTTGCTGATTAAGTGCTGCCACTTGGCCCTACCACCCCATTGTCCGGTCGAGCCCATTGCAATTAGGTGTGTTACATCAGTCCCACTGTCCAGTGTGGCTCACATAAAATAGTGGTCACAGCAGTCTCAAGATGCTGGGGCTCCCTTCACAAATTGGTTCCTCACCGTTGGGCAAGAAGTATGTCCAAGTGTGGGTCTGTGAGTCCAACCTAATAGATCTACCCTAACATGCCAGTTTCCCTAAGCCTTTGGCACTCTCCCAGGCAGGTCCAGCATTTCAACTTGTTTTTGTGTAGCCCACCACTTAATCCATGTTTCAGTGAACCACCCAGATCAACTATTATATCCTTTCTAATCTCTTGTGTTGAAACACTGAATGAAGAATCTGTGCTTAGTGGGCCCGTATCAATAAACTCAAACGGATCCAACTTTATGTTCTTTGCACCATTATCCCACACCCTTAATAACCATTGCCTCACATACTCCCCAGGTTTCTATTAGAAAAGTCAAACAGTTCTTTTAGAGTATAGCTTACCTCTTCCTGGATCACACTTTGTACTTCATCTCCTGCGGTTCTCTGGAATTTAAGTCTAGTTGTAGGTCTAGAAGCAAAAGTGAGTGGTAGGTCTGGGTCCTGGGGACATTCAGCCACGTCTTGAGGCATCTGCCTCAGGCTGTACCCCAGGCACCATACCCCAGCACCGTGCCAGGTGATATCTCAGACAGACTTTTTGTGCACAGCTGGGTAAATCTCATCAGATGGGGTGGAAAACGTAATGGATTTACTGGGGAGGACAGCTTAGCAAAGATAGAGTGATCTCTTCAGATGGGAGGGGGTGCCATCAGTAGGAGTTATTCAACAGAATTTAGTTGCTTGATATCCCCAGCTTTCTGATTATCTGCCCATACATCCCCATGGCAAGTTTCAGGCTCCCATTTCTCCCCTCACTTTAACTTCAGGTACAATTTGAGGCTGCAAATTCAATTGGCATTGTAACTTCAGCCACCCTTACAATAGGACTCTGTGTTTGGTTTTCAGCAGTGTTAGCTCTGTTACTACCAGAAATAAGGCTTTCTTTCAGGGCACAAGTGGCAACTTTCAGGTTTCGTATGTGGGGCTGCAGCTTTGAACTCATCCCTTTCTTTCACTACTTTGTCTAATGAAAGTAGAACCAACCAACTAGCTTCTTTATACTTCTCACACTGACAGAATTGTGGAAGAGTGTCCAATATGCAGTCACCCAGAGCCTTGTCTCTCACAAGTCCAGTGGTGGTGATACTTCATGTGTCTGTTGCCACTTTGCACCATGGATTAGCAGCACCCTCCTTACTACTGAGGGCAGAGTCATCAGTGGCTTTAAGACTAGGCAGACTTGAGAACCAGTTCAGAAAACACTCTTTAACAATTTTGTTCTTCTAGAACCATTCTCAGTATCAAATGTCTTAGGCCAGTCTCTTTAGAGAAACAAAACTAGAGAAGTGTGTATATAAATACATAGAGAGAGATTTGTTTCAAGGAAATGGTTTGTGCAGTTGTGGAGGCTGGCAAGTCCCAGATCTGTAGGTCAGGCGTCAGACTGGAGGCTTCTCTTCATTCATGGGGTTGCAGGGGCTGACAAACCCTAAATCAGCAGGTCATGGCAGGCTGCTGACTCAGGCTGAGGGATCTGGTGAATCCCAACATCAGCAGGTCAGATGGCAGGCTTTTGGCTCCTGTCCCAAGAACCAGAGGTCAGAAGATGACGAGTCAGATGCAGGATTGTTTTGGTTCTCCAGGGCTGTAAGGACACAAATGGCATGAATAACACAAGTGGTGGCTTTAACTAAAGGATTTGTATTCTTCCAGTTTAGGAAGCTGGAAGTCTGATTTCAAAATGCCAGCTCTAGGGGCTGGGTGAAGGCCCCTCGACCTTGGGCTTCAGCTCTGCCTCTTGTTCTCAGTCCACTGGAGCTGGAGGCTTCTCTTTACTCAGGCAGCTGCTGGCTGCTGAGGCTGACAAGGCTAAGGGTGACAAATAAAATGGCACAGTCCCAAGATTATCAAACAACATGGCAGGCCACTAGTTCAAGTCCAGAAATAGTCCCAAGATCGGCAGTCAACATGGCAGGCCACTGAAATGAAGACTCAGCCAAATGCTGGATCCAGATGTGCCAAAAAGCTCAAGACCTTTCTCACAGTGTCTTCATGTACTGGTAGCAGACCACGTCCCAAAGGCAGGTACTCAGCTGCTCATAGTAGATTCCACCATGGAGTTGATTACCAGTCTCATCATGGGGAATACTACATCCAGCTACCTACCCACTCAAAACCAAGTTGACGCACAAACTTAACCACCACAGGATGGAGACAGAGAAAGAGCTTTGCCAGAACATCTCTGTGTGTGTGTGTGTGTGTGTGTGTGTGTATTGGGTGCAGGCCACACCCCCAAAGGATCTCCCCTTACTTCAGATCACAGAATGGAGAATAATTCCATGATCTTAAGAATCATGGTCTGGCCAAGCTGACACAACATTGATCATCACACCCTTTTCCTTAACCCAGGGTCACACTTCTCAGAAGACCACCTTCATGACCAAGAGCCTCTGGCCTGGGTCCAGTTATGCTCTCAGGAGTCCAGTTCTGCAGTGCCCTCTGGCCCCAGGTGCACTAGGCCCACGTTCTAGAGTCAGACCACTGCCTCTCAGATCCTGCTGGGATATGTGTGTCTGGAACTTGGGCCCAAGGTGCCACCCAGGCTGAGCGAGTAACCAGCAGGGGCCCTTCCACACCCTCCCATGTCCTCCAAATAATCTGTTGGTGACCCACGCTCCAGCCCACCCTCGCTGCTGTGCATGGCAACCTGGAGTGAGGGGAGGGTGGTGAGAGCAGTCACTCTTGATGCTCAGTAGATTGAGAAAGCCATTAGCACTGCACACGGCCTGTGTAGGCCCCATGTCTCAGCACCCCCCCCCATCTTTCAGGTTGCTATGGCATCCGCCCCGAACTGGTCAATGAAGGTTGGACGTGTTCCCGGTGCACGGCCCACGCCTGGACTGCGGTAACTCGTGCCCCATGGTGGGGAGGAGGGGGGTTCTGGAGAGTCCAACCCCTCAGGGGGACCTGGGGCCATTGTGCATGGGGCAAGGTCTCTGCCTGGCTGCCTCACCCTGGCACCTGGTCCTGCAGGAGTGCTGCCTGTGTAACCTCCGGGGCGGGGCGCTGCAGATGACGACCGACAGGAGGTGAGTGAGCTGCCGGGGAGCTTGCCCCTTCCCGACTCCGCTCTTACCAGGGCTGTGGCCGTGGGCCAGTGTCCTGAGCTCTGAGTCTCCCTGTCCCCGCATGGTGGTGAGAAGCAGGGGATAGTGTGAGAGTCGGCAGTTGTCACCTGTCACTTCTGTGCAGCTGCCCTCAGTTCAGTGGGGTGGCCAGAGACAAGGGGAGACCCTGACTGCCTGGACCACGAGTCAGTCCCTTAAGCACAGACCTCACTGTTGAATGTGACAGCAGGGGCATGCACATCATCCCCTTTAGGCTGCCCAAGTGTCCCACCCTCGACCCTGCCCCTGGCCTGGCCACTGGCTGTGCTGAGGTGATGGACCCTCAGGTGTCCCAAGGATCGGGCATACCTGCAACTACCGCCCCCTGCCCCCATCCTCCAGGTGGATCCACATAATTTGTGCCATTGCGGTCCCCGAGGCCCGGTTTCTGAACGTAATGGAACGCCACCCTGTGGACATCAGCGCCATCCCCGAGCAGCGGTGGAAGCTGGTGAGTCACCACGGCCTGTGCTGACCGGCCCACACACTCTCCTCCGGTGCCATCTGCGACGTGCCATGACATTCTGGGATGTTCTGTGAGCTTAGGCCAGGGCCTGCAGTGAGCAGTGGGGGTAGACTTGCCTGCCTGCCTGGGGCCAGGCAGGTATCCTGGGCTTCTCCATCCTGGGCTACGACACCAAGACCCGCTCCAGACCTGGAGCTTCTACGTGGACCGACGGCTGCGGCGAGGAGGCAGGCGCGGTGGGTGTCAGTTCTGGCAAGTGTTGATTTTGGTGCAGCCAGAAGGTACAAAGGTGCCTGTGGGAGCCAGCTCCCACCAAGGCGGCAGGTCTCCTGGTCCCCCACCCCTCCTGAGGTGCCCTCTGTACTCTTGAGCAGTGGGTGCTGGTCCCGCCTTTTTGGCATGAAGGGAAGTGGCTGCGTGCTCTGCTCTGCCCCTCTTTTGTTCTGATGCTGCACCGTGGAGCTTGAGATGTGGCAGCATGTGGCCAGTGCAGCCGCGTGGGTGGACTCGTGTCATGGGCCTGCCTCTCAGGGTGTATGAGGCCCCCTGTTAAAGAGGAGCATGGTATCCAGCCCCCTTCTGGGGGTGCCCTGTGGTGTCAGTGGCAGGATCTCAGAGCCCATGAGCACTGGCTGAGCTTGGTGCTGGCCCAGAGTCCTCAGCCTCCCTGCCTCAGTCTCCCTGTCTGTGCAGTGAGGTGGCAGCACTCCCTGTCTTGCTGGTCGTAGTGAGCACTCACTGTATCGTCTGAGTGTTCACGGTGGCCCTGGGGCTGCTTGTCACTGCAGCCTCTTTGCCAGGGCTCCAGCTGCCTGTCCCAACAACACTGCGTTTGATCCGCATAGCGTGTTGGGGATGCCAGGACATGGCTCACTCAGTGGGCAAGGTGCTGGGCTCACGGGCAGCAGCTCCCCTGGCCCAGGCTTGGCGGCCTCTCCCTCTAGTCCCCATCACCTAAGGCCTCCCCACACCTGCCTGCAGTTACACTCAGCTGCTCCTGAAACTGACCCCCACCAGGTGGGGATGTGGCCTGCGTGTGTGGGGGGGGAGGCGTTGCTCAGAGCTTGTATGCAGGCAGGTTGCTTTGTTACGGACATTAGCCCAGGATGATGACAGGGGACGAAGGCAGGTCCTCCCTGGCTTCTGGGCTGTATCGCATCACTCTGGGCTTGAGTCCTCAGCCAGGGCCATTGGTGGCGAAGGGCAGCACCAGACCTGGGTGGGAAGTACGATGGGGCAGGGGCTGCCCCCACCAGAGAAGCCGTGTCCCCAGACCCAGGAATGGGGATAGGGTGCTGTGCTCAAAGCCCAGGTGCCGGGCTGCCTGTGGTGAGCTCGAGCGCCAGGCTCAGAAGCCCATGTGCAGGGGCGGTTTGCCCAGCGTGGTGAGGTGATGGGGTTGAGGTTGCCACCTACAGGTGAGCCCCCTGGGTGGCTCAGCCCTGACGCAGTGTAAAAGGCGCCATTACTCAGGTGGAGTAATGATGTGGCACCGCGATAAGTCCTCCCCCCACACTTTATGGATCATCTGACAGCCGCGCCGCGCAGCCTCTTCGTTACCGGTGCTTGTAACGATGAATTAAAAATCCTTTTACACGAGGCCCACTTGTACTGCTTAATGGAGCCGCACGAAGAAGCAGGCAATTAACTCCTGCCTGCCCGGCGCCTACACTGCCCATGGCTTCAGGGCCACAGCCTAGGATGGCCACTGCTGTCACCCGCCCAGCCACCTGGGCGCAAGGGTGTCCCAGTGGTCAGATATGAACTGAGTTGGCGGCATATGGGATCGTCCACTGCATTGGGCCGAGTGGTTCCTGGCAGTGGTCGGGAACGTGCTGGAAGCTTCCTGGAAGAGCAGTGAGACCAGGGCAGGGCTAGAGTCACCTCAGGTGACTGGCTCCGTGGGCCAGAAAGAGACACAGCCAGGGTTGACCAGTCCTCTAAGCACATGTCAGGCCCCAGAGAGAGGAACAGTTCCCTGCCCCCTTTGGACATCGAGCAGCATTTGCCAATTGGGTTGGCGGCAGCCTGGTGCGCAGGCCTCGGGCAGCACAGACATGCTGACATGTGATGACTCTGCAGTCAAAGCCGGCAGAGGCCTCAGCTTCTTCCCAGACCTCACTGTCCAGATGCCTCCACCCTCCAGCTTCCAGTGACTCAGGCACCCTGAAGGAGATGGAGGCTAGACCCCGGAGACTTGTCGGACCCACCCCCTGAGGGCCAACAGAAGGGCCCAGTGCACATGGGCCAGGCAGGCCCTGGAGCTCCGGGGCAGACGCCGCCCAGCAGCCCCACTGAGCAGCGTGTTCAGACCTTCAGTCCAGGACGTAAGAACGTGACTCAACTCCCCTGGGTAGCAGTCCCCGTGGCCATGGTGTGTGCCACAGGGACCCACCTCTTGGCAGAGGCAGCTGGAAGTGGCTGTGGTAGGGCCTGCGCTGCCCTCCGTGCTGGGCCCTGCCTCCTAATAGACTACTCTGGGGGGCCTGGCACACTCTTCGTGATGTGGGCGCCCAGGGTGGTGAGTTGCTAGCCACAGAGGTGGTCATGGTCCATCTTGCTCCTGATCGTCTCTCCTGGGCATCAGGTTTCTCCTGGACTTGCTGCCACCCACAATTCCCGTGCATTTCCAGAAGTCTCCTTCCCTTGCACATCTGAGTGGGTCCTTCCCACCCTCCCACAGCCCTGCCTGTCCTGTCCCTACTGCCACCGCCTCGTCTCAAGCACCTGTTGGCCTTGGAGGGAGGCGTCCACTCACTCATGTCTGGCCTCTGTCCCTGGTGTCGCCAGGCACACTCGGAGTGCCGGTGGTGAGGGTTAATGCTGCCTCTGCTCAGTGGCGCCGGGCGTGTCGTACATCAGTGCGATCCCCACCAGCAAGAGAATTAGGTATTGACAGTTTAATAATGAGCTCGCACTGCCTTCGATCGGCCTCCGGCACTGTGTTCCTGCAGCGCCCTTTGCTGTGGTGCTTATCTGGCTTTTGAACACGGTTTATGGAGCGATAACGGCCCTGCTTATTAAATGCTCAGGATGATGGGCAGCAAGGCCCAGGGGCCTGGCGGCTGTGAGCCAGCTGTGGGGAAGGGGGGCGGCTGTGCAGTAAGGCTGCCACCGGCAGCCTCCTTGGGCCCCTGCCCTGCATGTGGGTGCTGACGCCAGGCCAGGGCAGGGAGCCCAGGAAGGTGTCTCACCTGCTTGGAGGAGGCTGCTCTTGAGTGCCTTATTTATGTACTTATTTGAGTGAAAATTGACATAGCATAAAATGCACGATGTTAACCATTGTGAAGTGAACAATTTGGTGGTTTTTTTGTAAATTCATGGAGTTGTACAACTCTCACAACCAAACACCAGATCCACTGCCATTGTGTCAATTCCACCTCACAGTGACCCTGTAGGACAGAGTAGAACTGCCCCATAGGGTTTCCAAAGCTGTAATCTTTACAGGAAGGCTGCCTCATCTTTCTCCTGGGGATCGGCTGGGAGTTGGAACACCGGCCTTTCAGTCAGCAGCCTAGCCCTTAACCACTGCGCCACCAGGGCCTCCACTAATCCATTTCCTGGGTCTGTGGGATCCCATAAACGGAACCATATGTGATGTGGTCTTTTGTGTCTGGGTCTCCCACTGAGCCCAGTGGGAGCCACGTGCTGCGGCATGCAGGCCTTGCTTCCTTCAGCGGGCTCGCGCTTGAACGCCGGGGGCTCCAGCGCTGCTTGAAGGCGGTTTGCAAGAGGGGTCAGTGGAGCAGAGCCCAGGGGAAGCTTCTAGGGCTTTGTGCAGTGGCAGGAGGGAGGAGCACGGAGGCCCCCCTTGTCTCAGGCCTAGCGTGTGCTTTTCCTAGAGCGCCTGGTCTGAGGCTGGCCATGTGGGAGCTAGCAGGTCTGGGTCTTGAGCAGTTTAGGCATCTCGGGAGACGGTGCCGGGTTGGGAGGTGGTACTAGATGAGGGGCCCGTCCCTGGGGAGATGGTGCAGGGGCCCGTTTCTGACAGCACCCTGTGCTACTGCCTGTCTCTGCAGAAGTGCGTGTACTGCCGGAAGCGCATGAAGCGGGTGTCAGGCGCCTGTATCCAGTGCTCCTATGAGCACTGCTCCACTTCCTTCCACGTGACGTGTGCCCATGCTGCCGGTGTCCTCATGGAGCCTGATGACTGGCCCTACGTCGTCTCCATCACCTGCTTCAAACACAAGACGGGCACCCACGCGGTGAGTGCCGGCCCGCGCCCCTCACCTGCCCGCGCCGGCCCCTCTGAAGGCCGCCCTTCACCCTCCCAGGTCCAGTTTGTGCCAGCCGTGACCTTGGGCCAGATGGTCATCACCAAGAACCGTAACGGGCTTTACTACCGCTGCCGCATCATCGGCGCTGCCACACAGACCTTCTACGAAGTGAATTTCGACGATGGGTCCTATAGCGACAACCTGTACCCAGAAAGCATCACTGTGAGTCTCACGGTGGAAGTGTGGTGAGGGGGCAGGGAGAGGCCTAGCCTTGGATGGTGTGAGGTATGGAGGGGTCCATGCCCCTAGGGATGGGCAGAGAGGGGGCCATGCCTTATGGGGGACAGGGAGGGGCCCTCCCTCTGAGGGGACAGGTGGCGAGGGCCCAGCTGGCTGAGGCCTCGGGAGGGGAAGCAGTCCTCCCTTGAGCCTGCAGCACCACCCACCGCCCCGGGCCACCCAGGCCTTGTTGGGGGTCGGCAAGCCATGCGATTTCAAGCAGGACTCTGAACATAGTTTGGCTCCTCCTGTGCACCCCTGCTTACATGGCAGGGGGCAGGGAGGCAGTAACCGGTCAGAGAGGAGATGAGAGGCTGCACCTCACCTCGCTCCTCTGTCTGCAGAGTAGAGACTGTGTCCGTCTGGGGCCCCCTCCGGAGGGCGGGTTCGTGGAGCTGCGGTGGGCAGACGGCAACATCTACAAAGCCAAGTTCATCTCCTCAATGACCAGCCACATCTACCAGGTGAGCCTGGAGGGACTGGGGGTGGGGCAGCGGCTTTTGTGTCGGTGGACCATTCACGCTTAGGTTTCAGCACCCCGTCTACACTGGAAGGGGTCTTGGCTGTGTGACATCTCCCACTTTAGGATGTCTTCCTCATTTTTAAAAGAGAAGATGGGTTGAGTTTCTCCACCAGTTGAGGGAATCACATTTGGCAGTTAGGGAAATTATTTTAAAATGTGGCCTTTTAGAAAAGTCACCACATCACGGAGGCCCTGGTAGTACAAACAGGGCACATGCCCGGCTGCTAGTGGAAAACAGGCAGTTCCAGCCCCCCAGAGGCACCTGGGAAGAAAGGCCTGGTGATCTCCTTGTGAAAAACCGCCCCCTGACACGCCATAGGGCAGTTCCACTGTACACGGGGGCGGCCGTGAGTCGGAGTGGACTGATGGTCACTGGTGCTTCCATTCTTTCCGCGCATCTTATGTAAGTCCGTTCTTCCCGCGTACCTTGCTTGAGTTGGCTGTGTCACTCTTTTTGGTGGGTGGGGAAAAGAAGGCTCAGAGCCCCCTGGGGTCGCACAGTAAGTCAGCAGAGCTGTCCTGACCCCTGCTGGCTGCCTCACCTCGGGGCACTCAGCCTCACATTTCTTGCTGGACATGTGGGTTCAGCCTTGTAGGGTGAAAATGAAGGCGCTAAGGAGCCCCCGCAGCTGTGCTGAGTCCACAGTTGGGAGGTGGCTCTGCAGCTTTGGAGAAGCCCTGGTGGCACAATGGTTAAGCACACAGCTGCTGACCAGAAGGCCGGCAGTCAAACCCACCAGGGGTACCACGGTGGAAAGGCCTGGCCGTCTGTTCTTGTCAAGGTCACAGCCTAAACCCTGTGGGGCAGCCCTGCTGGGTCACACGGGGCTGGACTTGATCGAAGGCACCCAGCAAGACACCGCAGCTGTGCAGTGGCCTGAGATCACAGGAGCCCTGGCATCCGGTGAACCCCGGAGTCTGTGCCTCTCTCGCTTTCCCCCCTCATTAGCTGTCCTGGCAGGACCCCCTGATTTTGCCTGTCCCCCATGACTGCACCCTACATCTGGGATACCAGGGGTGGGGGCTCCAGTCCTTCAGCCCTCGGTGAGCTGCACTGTCGGTGAAGGTGGCTGCTAAAAAACCCTGACCACAGGCGTTACTATTGCTACTCGGCCTGGCCACTGGGGGAGGCGTCCACAGCCCATGGCGGCCCAGGGTGGTACAGACGGTTCTGAAAGGTTGGTGGTGTGAGTCCACCCAGAGGTGCCTTGGAAGAAAGGCCTGGTGACCTGCTTTAGAAACATCAACCACTGGAAACTCTGTGGAGCCCATTCTGCTCTGACACGGGTCGCCATGAGTCGGGATTGACGCCACAGCAGCTGGTGTGGTGGTGTTTAGCTCAGCCCAGGACAAAGTGCACTGGCATCCCCCAGCACAGGGAGCAGGAAAGGGTGGCGGGCAGTCCGCACCGTGGCGTCGGCTGGCTCTTCTCTCCACCCCTCCCACCACTTCAGGACAGCCAGGCCTGGGGGCGGCTGCGGGAGAGTACCCAGCCCAGACTCTGGGCCAGAGGGACTTGGAACCCAGCGTGTCTCTCCCGTCACAGCCCTCCTTCACTGCGCCCCGCCCCCACCAGCCCTCATTCCCCCCTTGGGCCCCCAGATTGCACACCTGAGGAAGGCTGGGTGCTGCCAGCCCTAGAGTCGACTGGGATTTGTACTGCTCGGCCTTTGGGACCCATGTGGGGCCAGTGTGGCCTCCAGGAGTGGACCCCGTACTGCCTCGTGGAGAGGAGGAGCAGGGAGATGGCCACCAGCTGAGCGCCCCCCTCCAGCAGCACCCCAGGTACAGCTCCCACCACAGCTGGGAGGGGCTGGCCAGGAGTCGGAGGAGCTCTCACAGGGAACTGCATAGCTGCTCTCCAGTCTCAAAGGAGCCCCGGCGGTTAGCCTTTAACTGCTAACTGAAAGGTTAGTGGCTTGAGCCCACCCAGTGGTTCACAGGCGAAAAACTGAGGACATGCTCCTGAAAAGATGCCATCAAGTCCATTCCAACTCACAGCGCCCCTAGAGGACGGAGCGGAACTGCCCCAGAGGGTTTCCCAGACTCTCAATCTTTACGGAAGCAGATTGCCTAGTCCTTTTCCCAGGGAATGACTGATGGGTTTGAACTGCCGACCTCTCGGTGGAAAGCTGAGTGCTTAATCGCTGCACCACCAGGGCTCCTCCTTGTAAAGACTGAAGCCTAGGAAACCCCATAGGACAATTCTACATGGAATCACTGAGTTGAAATTGACTTGATGATACACACCACCACCACCAAGTCTTGCTCGGAATAAGAAAACCGTCCACATCCCCGTGATCCATTGAAAGGAAACGAGCTTGAAGCCATAGTCTTGCTCACTGCACAGTGTTGGCAGCACGCACTCTAACCTTCCACCTGCTTTGGCAAACAGACGCTGGTCTGTCGATCATCTCTTCTGTGGGAGGGTAGACTATCCCTACACACTGTGTCTGGGATCCAAGGTACCAAGGCCCGACTCTCCGGAATTTTCCACTTCCTCCATAGGGCAGCCCTCTGCTCCCTCAGGACCCGCCCACTGGAAAGCAGTCTGATAGCCCCCAATGTGCGTGCTCCTTGCCTGGGAAGACCTGCTTTCAAGAAGCGCTTCAGAACCCCAGGGCATCTCTTGGAGGGGAAGTTAGTGTTTGTTGAATGCACAGTTGGGGTGGCCCCCTCAGGCCAGGGATCCGCAGCCTGGCACCCCTGTGAGAGATGTCCAGGCCGGGGTCCCCAGAAAAATGTGTGGAAAGTTCCTTTGAAAGTCAAAGCCAGGCTGAGCACGGGCTGGTATCTCATCCTCCCTCAGGACACCTATGAGAGTGGTAGACAAGATGGAAATAAGCCAGCCAGCTGGACATGAGCCAGGAAGCTCTGGGCGGATGGCAGGTGGGGTTGCCCATCCTGTAAGGAAACAGACAAAGCAGCTAGTTGTCCCGACTGGCAAGCCGGAAGTTGTCGCCTCACAGGCAGGCATTCTCCAGAGAATTCCCTCATGTCACCAGGCCCCTGAGGAAGGTCAGCAAGGGGAAGGGCTTACCCCTGAGGAAATGGAGCTAACAGAGCAGCAGATAGTTTAAACACATGGTGGTTCCCTATCCTCAGGGTGCCGGGCGTGGGGTGGGGACTACATCCCTGGACCAGGAGCAGGAGGCTTTGAAATCAAGCGTGGGAGGTTATGAAAGAAAACTGGTGGAGATGCTGGATGTGAGTGTTGGAGCTGTGGGCAACAAGGTGCCTGTGAGGTGTGTGTGTGTGGGGGGGTGCTGTGTGCCTCACGGTCCCAGGGGACACTGTTATCTTGCCTAGCTAAGATGTCCCTGGAGCCATATGGCCCAGGAATGGAGCCTGGGCAGAGCCAGTTACCCAAGAACCTGGGAGGAGCCTACTGACTGCACACTAGCTTGGGCCTGGTCCAGGCGACAGCAGACCTGCCCCCATAGACAACCATGGAGGACCACGTGGATGGGCCCCACCCTGCAAGTCCCCAGGGTGTTGGAGCCATGAGAACCTCCCTCTGCGGCTTCTGGAGCCTGCCAGATTTTCCAGCACATCCTGGAGCCCTTCCTGCCAAGCGAGAAACCCTACAATAATGCTGTGTGTGACGCTGCCATCGGGGGACCTGGGCTCCAGGCTCCTCAGGCTCCCCCAGCAGTACCTCTGACAACTGCACATGAACCTCTGCTCCCTCAGAATAAAAAGCCCTCCCCCAGGAGGTTCAAGGCCAGTGTCTGGGTTCTGGGGAGACACTGCAGAGGGAACTGGGGTGACTCCAGCCCCACGGCCTGCTTACGCCCCCGCAGGGGTGTCTGGGCACTGAGGCGCCCCGTGGGCAGGCAGGACAATCAGCAACCGCCTCATTGTGCTTCTTGCTCAGGAGGAACTAGGGCGCATCTCCCTGGTCTTTCTGACCCAGAAACCTGAGCTAGTTTCCTGGGCTTCTAGACCTCTCCTACCCTCCTGGGACCCTGCTTTTCTGGGGTGATTGAGTCACTGTGTACAGCCTCCTGGAAGCGAGGGAGAGGTTCAGCTGGGCGCAGTGGCCTCTGTGGAGGTGGGCTAAGCCCTGGGCATCCACCGGTGGGTCTGGGGTTCACACCAGCCTCCTGGATCGGGACCTGACTGGCTTTTGTCGTCCACGGCTACTGCTTTCTGAGGGGACCAGGGTTCAGATGAGGGGACCTCACTGTCTCCCCACTAGACAGACCCTGGGAAGGGCTACCCACAATACGCACAATCCTGTGAGCTCCTTGGGACAGGTCTGCAGGTTCCTATCTCCCACGAAGAATGGCCAAGGGTGACCACCTGTCTGAGCATCCAGGCCAGGAGTCGAAGGCCAGGCCGCCGCCTCACTCACTGGCCTGCTGCTTCGGCCCCTTCCTGTCTCTGTCCTCGTTGTGGACAAGTTGCAAGGGAAGTCTGGTCCCAGGTGGTGGCATGAGACCACCTGGAGACTCTTTTCACCCCCACTTAGAACCCTTGGCATCTCAGAAGCCCCTGAGAGGCTGGGCTGGGTGTGGTCAGCAAAGCAAGGGGGGCTTGGCTAGAGCAGTGGGACAGCCCCGCGTGGCCAGGCGAGCACGGAGCACAGGGTCCACCGGGCCTCCACTTGGCCGTGACTCCCCCAAGTCTCAGGATTGTCCCAACCTGTCAGGATGCTCACAGGAAGTGACTGCAAAGGCTCGGACAGAAGGGCCGGCTTCAGGCGTGACCAGATTCTCCATCTCAAGCCGATCGTCATTTCTGTGGGCACAGGCTGGACATCGTGGGCAGTGGGGCGGGGGGCGGTGTGGGACCCTAGCACAGGGGCAAGACCCCAGCATGGACAGGTGCTGAAAACAACATCCCCCTCACAGGTGGAGTTTGAGGATGGCTCCCAGTTGACCGTGAAGCGTGGTGACATCTATACCCTGGAAGAGGAATTGCCCAAGAGGGTCAGGTCTCGGCTGGTGAGTGGCCACAGGGTCGTGCTGTGGGGTCAGGAAGCCCCTCTGTGGGAAGTGGGCCCTGGGGTCACATTGCACCTGAGCTGACCTTGCCTTCCAAGCTGGCCCCAGCTGGGCACCTCCCCTCTCTCCACCCACTGGCCCCACTCCATCCAGGAGGGGCTGCTGAGGATGCCAGTGGGTGGCGGGAGGGCAGAGGGGGCCGCTCTTCCATATTCCTGCAGAGTGGGACACAGCAGGAAGACCCTTCCCAAAGTCTCTGAGCTCAGAAGCTGGGCCACTGGCCACGTGCTCACTGTGCCACTGCACAAGCTGTGTGTTGCGGCGCATGGCCTGCACCTGTGGTGGCTGTCGGCTTAAAAACCATGGTCCTGATACATGTCCCTTTTTAAGGGGACAACGAGTCTGCAGGGGGAGCGGGAGTGATAGCCTCTTCCCACTGCTGCTGTTCGTTTTCTCTCTCTTTATAATCCAGCAGTGAGGTGGGAGAGGGCAGAGGGAGGGAAGGGTAGGGTCACCTGGAGGCTTCCCTGGGAACCCTTGTCCCTGCTCCACCTCCCTGGCTCCTTGTCCTCCAGGAAGTGACCTACCCATCCACCCCAAGGAGAGCCAGCCGCAGGGCAGCCGCAGGGTGTGGGCCCCTTTCCCCTGCAGCCGTCACACACAGGACCAGGGCCCCCAGGGCAGGAGCCTACCAGCAGCCCTCTTTGCATTCAGTTAGCCCACTCAGGGAAGGTCACTCACTGAGGGCCAGTGGCCGAGGCCCCGCCACACTGAGCCTGCCCCTCACTAATCCCTGTGTTCTTTGGTCCCCACAGTCAGTCAGCACAGGGGCCCCCCAGGACAGCATCTTCTCGGGAGAGGAGGCGAAGGCCGCCAAGCGCCCACGGGTGGGCGCCCCACGCACCTCCACCACCACCGAGGACACAGCCCAGAGCCCGGACTACCTGGCTTTCATGGAGAGCTTGCTGCAGGCCCAGGGCCGGCCCGGGGCCCCGTTCTAGAGCGCCCTCCGGCTCCATTCCTCCTCAGGCTCTCAGCCCAGCATGGCCACCCAGCCCCCAGGAAGGAGGCGGCAGCCCTGCACCTGCTCACTGGGAACCCTGGCCTCGCCTCCTTCCTGGCCCAGAGGCCAGCTCCACGCGCAGAGCCCTCTGTGCAGCAAAGGGGCAGGCGCGGCCGGACTCAGGGAGCAGGGCCAGCCAGCTGGGGGCGGCCGGGCCGGGCCGGGCCATGCCGCCCACCTCAGCTCCTCAGATCCTGAACCATGAAAAGCTCTTCTCGAAAAGGTGCTACCACATTGCCTACTGAGCGACTCCAGAATCGTGACCGTGTATATAGACCGCCTTTGTGAAGTTCTTTCTATAAATACATATTGTTTAAAAAAAAAAAAAAAAAGGAAAAATGGAACACAGAAAAAAGGAAAAAATCCCCAAAGTTGTTTTCTAAGAATTGTGGCTTTAAAACACACACACACACAAACCAGAAACGGAAACGTTCATTTTCTCAGAACTGGGATCCGCAAAGGGCGACGACAGCATCTCCTTGTTTTTCGTTTGTTGTTGTTTTAAACTATTATTTGCCGGCACAGTGGACAGGGAGGGCGTTGCGTTGAGCCGGGGCACCTTGTGGTTCGAGGTGGCTCTGTGGCTGGCTGGGACTGTGGGGTCCCCAGGCAAGGACCCTGGTGCCCTTGTGGCCTCGCTCTGGACTTGCCCTCAGCCATGGCTGGACCAGCGCATCCCCCGCCCCCACCTGGTTGGAGGAGGCCGCCGAGTGCTTCGGGGGCTGGCCCTGTGTGCTTGGTCAGCGGGCCTCTGTCCCATCTGCTCACGCCTTTGCAAAATAAACACTTTCTTCTGTTTGCTCGAGCCTTTGCTTCTTCCCCTCGTGAGACCCACTCTGCAGCAGAGGCCTCAGGCATGACCATTTCCTTCCAGGCACTTCTGAGAGGCCTGCCAGGGTGAGGGCCCCCCAAGTGTGTGCATGGCTCAGCAGTGGGCATGTGGGCTTTCTGAGTTTGAGGCTGGCTACGGAGGGTGAGACCTGGAGTGTAGGGGCAGCTGCGAGGCCCAGTCCATCTGTCCGTTCCTAGTCCACTGCCCGGAAGCCTTTAGCTCTGGCGTCGAGTGTGGGGGCTCCCTGGAACCCAGTGTCCCTCTGTGAGGTATGGACTGTGTGTGTGAGAGGGAGCGAAGGCGCCCTCTCCACATGAGAGGAGCGGCCTCTTGAGTTGTGGGTTGGATTTATGAGACAGAAGGAACATCTTTGGTGACGGGCCAGGCAGGATGTGCCCTCCCGTATCACAGGAGGATCCAGGCACCTGGTCCCCACACTTATCTCCATCAGAGGGGCCTCCCCACCCAGCTGTGCCTGGGGCAACAGAAGGGAATGCGCTTGTATGAAAAATAAACATATGAAAAAAAGAAAGTTCTGACAGTTGCCAGCCCATAGAAGGCTGGCAGTTCAACCCCACCAGCCACTCCTCGGAAAGAAGACTGGGCAATCTACTTGGGTAGTGATACCACCTCGGAAACCCAAGGAGGGGTCGATATGAGTCAGGGCCGACTCAACGGCGCATAACAACAGAAGGATTCTAGAAACTGGGAGTGAATGTAAACTTGGGACAGTGAGCCCTGAGCAGGCTGGCAGGACCTCAGAGGTCACCCACCCAGAGCAGGGCACCAGCACTGTGCCCATGCTGCTGGGAAATGCTATTTATGCTGTAAAGAGTGGGAGAGATTCGAGGCGGCCCCACTGCCACGCCCCCCCCCCCCGGTGTGGGCTTTAGGAGTGGCCTGACAGCAAATGTGAAACACTCATTGTCCCCACAAAGACTGATCTGTGTCTTACCATGTGCAAAAAAAAAAAAAAAAAATCCCACCACGCCTGCCCCTTCCCCCAGATTCCAGACGCCCTGATGTACTTTGCTGCTTTCCCTGCCTGGGCCCCTGGGAATTAAAGGCTCTGGAACACCCTGGAGTCACAGTCTTGGCCTTGGATGTGTCTTCATTTTCCACCCGGTGCCACAGGAGGGGCAGGGGTAGGAGGTGGACTCTCAAATCAAGTGGGCATTGAGACCCCAGAAGCTGGCGCCTCCCAGAGGGCTGGGATGGGTGGGTTCCCGGGGTGAACCCTAGGTGCCCAGCCCCGCTCTCGGCTGCAGGCTGACAGTGCTATTGGCCAGGTGGAGAAAGTTCCAGAACCAACCCCTCACCTCGCTTCTCCGAGCCCAGATGGTCAAGTGGTAGCTTGGCTGCTAACCAAGGTCTGGCCAGTTCAAACCCATGCAGCAGTTCCTCCCCAGAAAAACCAGGGGATCTGCTCCCACGAAGGGAACACCGGGAGACAGTTGTACTCCGTCACACAGAGTTGCTGTGAGTCAAGCCCTCACCTCTCTCCAGGGTCAGGGCAGGTGTGTGTGGCAGGGTGGCCGTGACAGCGTGTCCCCTGGGAGTTACCCTGGAGGCTCTGTGGTGCGCTCTGGGCCTTGGTCTTCTTTCGTCTGAGCCCCTCAATTGTTCATGGCCCATGCTGCTCCCCTCACCCACTCACCGGATCCCGACTCTGCTGACCTAGAGCCAGTGGCGTCACGTGGGTTGGGGGTCACCCATCCGTGGGCGGGACCAGACAGGCCCCTCCCCACCCGAGCACCAAATGGCGCGGCCCCGCCCCTCCTGGCCCCGCCCCCACGGCTCCCCAACGCTCCTCCCCATTGGCCAAGGCAGAGATCCTCCTCTCCGCCCATTGGCAGGGGCCAGCGCCTGCCCGCACCCTGACTAGCTAGTGATGGGAAGGGAAACAGACGGGTGACACCAACCCTACTGGGCACTGACTTGGCAGCCCCTACCCCTGCCGCTGATCCTGGGGTCATTTTCGTGTCACTCCTGACAGTGTCCAGGAGCTCTGGGAGCATAGTGCCTAAGGCACTTGACCGCTAACCAGAAGGCTGGCGGTTCAAACCCACCAGCCACTGGGAAGGAACGTTGGGCAATCCTACTTCTGTAGTGATACTGCCTCGGAAACCCAAGGAGGGGTCGCTATGAGTCGGGGCGACTGGAGGGCACATAATAACAACAACAACAACCTGACAGTGTTCAGAGCCCTGGGAGCGTCCTTAGATGGGGGGCACATGGAGACGCCAGACTGCAGGGTCTCAGGGCCGCAGGGCCAGGCTGGGACCTGGGTACCTGTGAGCTGTGTCACTGAGCAAGGCCTGAGGCACCTGCCACAAGCAGCCACAAGGTGGTCAGCACTGGAGGTCTGGCACACATACCCCTGTTCTGGGAGCTGGCAGGAGAGGCAGAAAAGAGCTAAGTGAGGGGGGGTGCCAGGCAACAGCAAGAACAAAGCAGGGAATATGGGTTGAATATTTACATCAGGTAGAGACACTCCTTGGAGAGATCAATCATGGGAGAACAGGGCAGTGTATGCACAGGGAGACAGCTGGGGGTGGGGGAGTGCATGGGAGGGAAGGACACTGGGAAGAGGTAACTATGGGGAGGAAGGGGGAAGAGAGCTGTCACACTGGCAAATTGCAGTCAACGTCATGAGACAAATATGTATGAACTGCTGTATGGAAAATGAATTCGCTCTGTAAACTCACACAAACTGCAATAAAAATTAAAAAAAGAAGAAAAGAACAAAGCAGGGAAAGGCACCAGGGAGTGTTGGGAGGTGTGTGTGTGTGTGTGTGTGTGTGTGTGTTGTTTTAAACTGGCTTGTCCTGGGGGAGATGAGTCAGGGAATCACCAGGACTTCTGGGGGCGGGCATTCCAGGTGGAGGGCACAGCCTGTGCAAAGGCCCTGAGGCAGGCCTGGGCCTGACGGGCTGGAGGAACAGTGAGGAGGGCCATGAAGCTAGAGTGGAGTGAGCCAGGGAGAGAGAGGAGCGAGGGCAGAGAGGGGACAGGCATGTCATGCTGGGCCCCGGGGAGGACTTGGGCTTTTACCGGAGAGAAGGGAGGGAGGCCAGAACCCTAGAGGGCTGTGAGCAGAGGAGGGATGGGACCTGCCTCAGGTGCTCACGGACGCCCTCTGCCTGCTGCAGGGAACATAGACTGTGGAGGGCGAGCGGAGCAGGGAACCAGGGTGGAGGAAGTTGGCTGCACAAGTCCAGGCGAGTGATGATGGGGTTGTACCTGGTGGAGGCAGAGAAGAGGAGGAAGTGGGTGGGTCTGGGATGCGTTTTGAAGGCAGAGCTGAAGGGACTTGCTGATAGATTAGGTGTGGGCGGGGGCTGAGAGGAGGAGAGGACATGTTAGGGATCACCTGATGGGAAGATGGCGCAGGCCAAGGAGGGAGGCAGGGAGAGACCAATGGCTCCATGTGGAATCCAGCTCCCCATGTGAAGGGGCCAAGGGGCAGGGAAGAGGCCCAGACAAGGACAGACATCGAGGTGGTTTATCTGAAGTGGTGGGATTGGGCCGAGAATGCAGGTGAGAGCGAGAAGGGGTGCCCTAGGCTAGCACGGCTGGGACAATGCTCAGGAGAAGCCCGATGAGATTGATGTAGGGGATCCAGGCAGTGGGGGCCTAGGGGCCCGCGAGGCAGCCTGGGGCCCTGGCAGGGTTGTGCCTCCCTGTGCTTCTCCTCTGCAGACCCTTGGATGCCCTGATGGGGTGGCACGTCAGCAGGGAGAACTTCAAGGTCGCCCTCACTTGGACTTGAATCTTCATCCGGCCCCTCCCACCCCTTGTTGGACCCAGGCTATAAAGGAGGTGCTCGGAAGAGAGGAATATGCCAACACACGACAATGCAAATGCACTAGGAAAGTTTATTAGCTAACTTAAGTTAGGGTCTTTGCCCTTACCAGGTCAGTGGCTTAAGCAAAAGACCCCCTGCCCCGATATTCTCACAAATTTATGGAACAATATGGGGAGGGGCAGCACCAGGGCGAGAGGGTACAGATGATTGGTTGTTGCTAAGGGATTTAGGGCAGTGATCTAAGATGTTGGGGGACGTAAAGAAACCCCCCGGCTCCAAATTTCACTTAGGAAAATAT